GGGGCGGGGTCTGAGCCCGAGGACACTGACCGGCCCGGAAACGCAGCCGCCTCTGGGGTGGGAGAGATCTGCTGAGGATGCGAAGGGGGATCGGGCCCGGCTGGCGGGCTGGGCTCAGCATCAGGGGGGCCGTGCTCCCCCAAAGGGCAGCCTGCGCACCCCAGCCCAACTGCCCAGAGCCTCTCGGCGGGGCGGGCGCCAGGCGGGGAGCGCAGGGCCTCATCCATCGCCCGACACGCTCAAGGAGCGACAAGCGGGGAAGAGTGGGCAGGAGGGTGGGGGGTCCGGCACAGCACCCCATCGTGCCCCAGCCCTGGTCACAGGCGGTGACGGCGCAGTGGGGCGCAGGGAACCTCCCCAAGGCTTCACACCCCAAGCCTTAACCCACGCTGGGGCTGGACCTGGCTCCAGGTTTAAGAGCTCAGCTCCTCAATTGGGTTGCAGGGTACAGCCCCCAACAACCCCCCCAAAGGTGGGCAACTGAGGGGTGACCCCAGCATAGCCCACCCCTGCTGCAGGCCAACCCCAAAGCACCCTGACCCCTCTCCGCTCTCTACGTTTGTAACGGAGGGGCTCTGCAGCGATCGATCCCCCCCGGGAGCCCTGAGCTGGCAAATCTGCTGATGCTCGTGCCGGAAAGGAGGCGGGAGAGATGCCTCCTCGAAGCAGCGAGGGATGGATGGATGGATGACCCCCCGGACACCGGCCCCGCCACGGCACATCCGTCCCCCCTCCGCCTGCCAAGGAGCTGCAGCCCTGCCGGCCCCCGGCCAAGGCGGGGGGAGCGTGGCCAGGCCGGCTTTGGCAATCGGCAGAAAACCAGGCGAGGGGGAGGGAAAGCTGGGAATTCACCCGGCCCTGCCCTCCCTCTCCCCACTGGTGAGCTGAGACCAGCAAGGCCCCCAAGCGCCGGGGCAGCACCCCCGCTCGCCCATGCATGGGAGGGAAACTGAGGCACCCAGACGGTTGCAGATGTGGGTGCTGCCTCCTGCCTCCCCCCGGGCTGCACACACGGGGCCCCCAGCCTCCCCGGCATGGACACACCGTGCCTCAGTTTCTCCACGTCACTCAGGAACCCCCAAACCTGCATGGATCAGGTTTCCCCAGCACTGCCAGGTCCACCAGTCCAGCTCCCCCCGTCAGAATCTGCAGGAGTGGCCGGAGCCGCCATGGGCAGCCAAAGGAGTTTCTTAATCTCGGGGAGGCAGATAACGCCGCTGCTTCCACCTTGCCTTCACCTGGCTCAGGGAGGAGCGAGCAAACAAACCTTTGCATGGGTACAACTCTGGGACATGAAAAAACACCGTGGGGGCGGGGGGACTCCGGCGTCACGCTGGCCGTGCCGTGCCAGCCTGGCCCCCCGCCAGCGCCCAGCCGGGAAGTGGCTCTCCCAACCCCACCGGGAGGTTGGGAATGCCAGCTGTGCTCCGGAGCATCCCTCTGACCCCACCACCATCCCCACACCTCTGGCAGCTGCAGCCGCGTCAGGGTGACGCCAGGCATTGAGCCCCCAAAAAAGCACGGGACACACCCCGCCGTCGGGGAGGATGGTGGCAGGAAGCGTCCCTTTCCTGTCCCCACCCCGGCTGCGGCAGGGTGCACCTGCGAGGGCCCGCCCGGCGAGCAAAGTGCAGGGAGAGCTGCCATCCGCTGCCAGGGCCGAGGGAGGGGAGCGGGTTCGCCCCCAGGGTGCTGCAGCCCGGCTCAGCACCCCCCGCCCCAGCGGGCGGCTCGGCTGCGGAGATGAAGCACGGGGCTGGCTGCCCTGGGATGGGGAGAGCCGGGGGGCACGCCTGCGCCAGTCCCAACTCACCGCATCCGCCCGGAACGGCACCCACACCCCTGGTTGGGGACAACGGAGACCCCCACAGACGGAGCAAACCCTGCGGCTCTTCCAGCCCCCTGCCACACTCCTGCCTGCATCGTCCCACCCCGGGCAGGAGCGAGAAGCTTGCAGGAGGGCAGCTGGCCGTCGGGACACCGACATTGGTATTCACCTCCTGCCACTTCCACGAGAGGCAGGGGCCCTCCCTGGACCTGCCCCCAGTGAGTGAGCCAGGCCTGGGTTAGGCAGGAGCTGCCTACACTCGCCCCGGCCCTCTCCTGCCTGTGCCACGCAGGCAGAGCTGCCTGCACAGCCCATCCAGGTCTGCTGTCCACACGCGAGGCCACGTGGGGAAGCAGGGACGTGCTTGGCATCCAATGGCCCCTCTGCGCTCACAAGGGTCCCCTGTCCCCCCCCACAATGGGGACAGGCAGCGGAGGGCTCCCGGGGAAGGGGGTGCAGATCCCCTGGGGATTTTGTGCTCCAAAGCCTTTCCCCCACAGACTGCGGAGCCTCCGCGCCTCGCCAGCATCACGCTCAGACATGCACAGGCCACGTGGCCCATGGCGGGGGATCGCAAGCCCCTGCAGGGGCCAGAGCCCCCCCAAAACCCCCTAAGACAAAGTGACAGCCACCGCCAGCATCTCAGGAAGATGGATGAGCCGGTCTGCCCCAGTGCCAGCCAGGACCCTGACTGTGATGCCCCCCTGCCAGCTGCTCCGATGCCACCAGAGCTGGGGGAACACAGTCATGGATGGGAGCCAGCGTGTCCCCATGGGGAGGAGGGGTCCCCGGGGCGCTGGCCCAGCTCCTGCACGCCCACAGCTGCTCCGCAGGGAACGGTTTCACTCCCTCCTGGACGGGAGCAACAACAAGACGTCCCACAGCAGGGTGAGCGGCCAAAATGCATCTCTGGAATGCGGAGCAGCAGATGCCTCCGTCCAGCAGCTGCCACCGGTCCCTCCGCCATGGGCACGGCAGAAAAGAGGGAGCCCTCGGGGTCTCCGAAGGGCCCCCCGCAGCCGGGAGTTCCACGGGAGGGTGAGCCAGCAAAAAACTGTGCCCCCAAGTGAGAAAAACCCAACCCAAGCCCTGCGCCGGCGCCTTCTCCCCGGCACGCACACGCAACTCGCACACGCGACTCGCACCTCCGGCCAGGAGGGATGGGAGCCGGGGATGCTGGCTGTGGGGGGGTCCGGCTGAGCGGGGGGACAGCGGGGGACACGGCGAGTGACAGTGGCGGGATCACACGGGGAATGCACCGGCTGAAAAGGGCTTTTGTTGGGGCTTTGCTCGG